AAAAAAAGTGAAAGTGAAAAAAAAAAAGGGGCTCCCTTTTTTTTTCTGAAAGAACCTATAAAGGCCCCCCCCCCCCACCCCCTCCCTATTGTTCTAGGGTGACTGCTAGGCAAGGACATTAAGTAGAATTAAAATGTTAGGCTTCAATCATCTCAAATTATAATTCAAATAGATTAAAATTATGAAACAATGAAATCAAAAAAAAATGGAATCATTCCTAATAAATCATTATTGGACCCGATCAAATAATTATCCCAAATTGGATATCTAAAAATAATTTTTGGTGCGGTAACCTTTTGTTTACTGTATACTACTTGGTGTATACATGTTTTGCACGTGAACAATTTTATTACAAATATTTTGTTTAGCACCAACATTAAAAAAGTGATTCCGACATTGCAAATAGTTGAAGTAAGTTCAATAAGATTGTGATTTTAATTTCTTTTTTTGGAGGGTGGGGAATCAAAAGTTGAAAAAGTTTCAATTTCTATTTACTTGACTCAAAACAAAAAATATTTTTCAGAGGTATATAAATCAGTTCCTTTTTAGATTTTTCAATGTTCAATATAAAGCTCAAGACGCAAACCTCTAACACAAAATCCAATAAAAGTGTCAGATAAATTATTGCAATTCCAACACCTTTAATTTGAAATGCATTAAGTAAAAATAATAAGATTAAACTCAAATAAAATAATATTTATATATTGATCATTCTTTTGTAAAATTTAATCATATTTGGCATTGTAAATATACATTTAATGAAGAGATAGATTATTTAACACACGGTTATATTAGATACAAGGCATGCTCACCTGAAAAAAGGATCACAAAATTTTACTTCTCTAACTACTTGTTGTTTAATGTTTTTGCAGATTTCTTGAAACATATTTTCAAGATAGAGTGAAAAAAAATAATAGTCAAAAAAGTGGACAAGTATAAGTTCTTACAACATTATTCTTCGTGCGCAAAAATTTATGATCAAGACCATCAACATACAAACCCACAAGCTCTTTTTATTTTTGAAAAAATCGCAAGCCCCCACAAATATAGATAGGGACAAATGTGATTACCTAAGAATCGAGTTCTATGATATAAAAAGGGTACTTTCATGTCAAACAAATACATCAACAAAACAAATTTTACAACAATCCTTGAAACCCTATAGGAAAGAGAGAGAAAAACTTTTCAAACTCTTTTATACATACCATAAACTCTTGGTTTTTCCATGTCCATAAAAGCTACGCATCAACTCAGGAGAAAAATTTCAAGCTTTCTTAGAGTAACAAAAAATTGTTGGCTTACAAACATTAAAACCTCAAATAAATTCGTGTTGTTAGAATTAGAAGACCAAAAATTGTCGAGTCCATTATATAGAGAAACAAAACGGTGGTAGAGTAATGTTTTGTAACTACTCATAATAGTATGAATATCATTAGAGTTAAAATCAATAATTAAAATTTAAATGAATATATAAAATATTAAATTTACGTACATAACTAATTTAAGGAGATGAAAAAATATGAGCCCGAGTATGTAAATTGATGGAAAAAGATGAAAGAAAATTTCCAATGAAATTATATGTTTTAGAAGGGTATTATAGTCGATCAAAAAAATTTCACTTTTTTTGACATTTTATAATAGTATACATATAAAAATAAATAGATAGCTAGATAGATATGTTCACCCCTAGAGGTTTTTTTGGTCATTATCAACTTCAATAATGTAGCTGACCAGTTTAACAAGCTGGCATCATGAAGACTACTTTAACCTCCTTAACCCTATGGCTTTCATTGGATGCTAAGAAAGTTTAAAAGGAAACCAATTTCAAGACAACACTAGCTAGGTAGGGGACCAAATTAATATAGAGTGTTGAACTATGATACTAAAACAATATTTTTTTTTGGTATTATATTTTACTTTTTATCCAATAAAAATATGACACTTCTAAATTTTTTTTTATTTTTATTATTGTATTATAATTTCAATTAATATATACAAATTCAAACCAAAATCAATAACAGATCAATTTCGACACAGTACTTCTAAGGTATCGTAGCCTTAGCAAAGAATAGTCAAATAATATGTCAATAGAACTATAATAATATGTAAATCAAAATGGCAGGCCACCTATTACTTTGTAATTCTCTCAAAAACGGATCTAAGAATTAGGTTTAGATGGACAAACCCTTTGAACGTAGGAAAATACTACATAATTCAAATGAAAATCAGAAATTAAAATTCACATACATATCATTTTTTAAATGAGTGTAAGATGAGTGAGTTTCACTAAAAAAATTAATGGGACCTACTTATTCAAGAGATGATATACATTTGAATTATAATTTTTTGGATTTTATTTGAATTTTGTAGCATTACTCTTGAACATATCTTTTGGAAGCAATCATGAGAGAGAAAAAAACAAAATGGGGGTATACTAATTTTCTCATTTTAAGAATCACCTAACTAAAAAAATTACTATATAATGGTATGAAAATATTTAAATATTGAGTTAAGCCTATCTTTTGCCTCATACTCCCAAGTAGAGCTGATAATCGAGTTGAGTTATTCGAGTTCAACTCATTTTAATTTCTGTTTGAATTTGGCTCATTTTTTAAACGAACTGAGCTTAAATAATTTTTTAGACTCGTTTAAAAAAATGTACCTAAAAAAGTTCGATTCGATTACCAACCTTACCCCAAAATCATCATCGTCCTTCGAGGAGAATCCAAAGGCTGGTTAGTAGTTATGGCATCTTCATATTTAATACAAAAAATACCTTTATTTTGATGGCCTTTTATTGAGAGTGTATTGCCAAAAGATTAACACCTTTACAATAAAAAAATCTCACATAATATCTCGATTTAATGATGTGTAAAGTTATATGATTTTAATAAGTCTAATGCTCCGTTTGGTATGATAGAAAAAATGGAAGGATGAAATGTTGGAATTATAGAAATTTGGAGGGATAAATATAACATCATGTTTGGTAAGAAAGGAAAATAAGAAGGATGAAAAAGTTGATGAATTAATTTTTCTTTCAACTCATCAAAATTAATCCCTCCAAAATCAGACAAAAAGTGGATGAAAAGTTAATTATTTGTGTTGAGATGTATCTTATTTATCTATATATTATGTATACATTAATTTCATATAAAAATACAATGATATAAAAAAATTAGTCATTTTTGTTTTCCATCCATCTAACCAAACACAAAAGAAAAAAAGTGTATCATTCATATTTTTCATCCTTGCAAGATAGAAAGTGTATCCCTCTTACTTTTCATCTTTTCTACCAAACGGAGCATAACAGTAATAGTTAGAGTAAAATTAATAGACCATGTCATATGTTATTAAGTCTATAAATTAAGTAAAATTTTAAGGTTTTAATGTAAAAACATTTACTGCATATCAAACTCAACATAATCGCATTACACTTGCCGAAATGTCAAAGTTATCGGGAATTAGAATGACACAATTTACAAGATCTTCAAGAGGAGAAGAATTGTCATACCTCATTCACATACTGATACCAAAATGAGAGAAAAATCTAGATCCAACTCTTATTCATCTTAACTTATGATCGATACAGTGCTGTTGGATATGAATTTAGTCTTAACAAATATGGGATTATAATTGGATTCATCTTTCGGTTGCCAAACTCACTAAATACATGGGTGGTACAAATATAACTATATATGACACAAACCCGACTTTAGATTACTTATACACGACACTAACCTAATTATACATAACTTGTATATAGATTGAGAAAATTTTGGGATTACAAGACATAGAAGTAACACAAATCTACCCTATAAACCTGATCTGAGAGTGGTATTCAGTGGTAAGAGGCCTGTGCATGATTTTTAAAGCCTAAATAGTTCCTTGAAATAAAGAGAGAAAGTGAAAGATCATGAAAAGGAATGTGGTATGACTCCCCAAAGAGGGGGCTTGGGGGTACTAACCACTAATATGTTGCCCCCATAGTGTGACAAGTACCACACCTACTTCTCTAGAGTGATGGCACAAAAACCAAATTCCAGGACATTACGGTTGGCTAAAACTCTTTTTTATTGAGTTATTTCTGTGATTGTAACGAAGAAAGTATTGTATCAAAAATTATAAATTTTTGTTCAAATTGCAACAAAAAGTTAGGACAACGGGTCCTAAAATATTATAATTTCACTAATCGTAACATCACTAGATTGTGTAGTAACTTTGTCCAGTGATTTCAGTGCCATAATTTTACCTTATGTTGTAGGTTTTTGTCCAGAGAGTCCAATGTCTATCTTCAACTCCCAAGCCACAATAAAAGAAGGGAGTGGGAGAGTTTGCTCTGTTTCTTGATTTTTGCTGCTATTGGCAGTTGGAAATTGTAAAATTCAAGAGAAATAGTATTGAAGAGAAATGAAGCATGTAGGTCATTGAAGTTGTTGCCGTTTTAATGTGTTCATTGCATTAGGTAGGCCAGCACATCAAACAATGGCAAGTAGGGGCCATGTGTGACGCCAGAAACATGCAAAGGGAAAGTTAGTGCCCCTTTTTTCAATACTAGGCTGAAAATAATTTTTAATATTAAAAATTAAACATTGATTGTGTAACATTTATATTTTAAATAATAATTTATTTTTTAATTTTTATTATTTCAAAAATAATAATATGATAAATAAATATAAAAGATGATAAAGCGATATATTTATCTAATTTTTTAGTTAATGAGTTGAATTTTAACTTATAAAAGTACAACAACGATCAAGATTATTTCAATTACATTTACTTTAATCCAATGGTATAGAATTCATCCCAAGACTTCAATAAATTTATTCGACGATCTTAAATATACTCATTCAAAGACTATTAACATTCTTCTGAAAATCATTTACATTGGACCCGTACTTTTACGCATGAGTTACTATAATCTATAATATAAAACAAGACAAGATAAACTTTAATAAATTCATCTGATAATTGCAAATAAACTCATCTATCTACTATCAACATTCTTTTTAAAATTGTTGATTATAACATTTTACTTTCGGACACCAGTTACCTAAATGAATAAAAAAACTCCAATCACCCCTCTAGTACAACTGTACATGCTGAAAGCTCTGATCAGAACTCTGCTTTTTTTTTTTTTTTTATCAGCGATCAGAACTGTGCTGAAAAACCCAAATCAGTAGTAAAAGAGTGGAAGGACGGTCCTCAAAAAAAAAAAAAAAAAAACTCGTCCTGTTCTCTGTGGAGGATTTGATTTCCCCCACATATATAAACCCAAACAAACACAAACACTAACTAAAACAAAACTCTATATACCTAAGGATTATATACAAATTGTGATGTGTCACTAATTAATAATAAATTAACATATAAATAAAAATTATCTTGTTCATGTCAAAAAAAAACCGTGCTGTAATAAAATTTATTTTGTCAACTTATAAATTTATCATTGAATGTTAATACCACGTGACAATGATGAATTTCGTGTCACGGCTCGATGATTTGATGCACACACCAAATGCACTAATTTGGGAAAAATGGGACTTGATTATGATACCAAAAAAAATTTGGAATTGTATCTTCAATATTTACTATTTCAATTAGTGTTTTTATAATTTTTATGGATTATTTTATAATTAAAAATTTTATTATTTTTTGTGAGTATTTTTACTAATGTTGTAGGTAATTATTTTTGTTACTTTTTTGCAGTACAAAAAAATTATTACTTTTGTAGATTATTTATTATATTTATGAAAATATTTTTATCATTATTATGGATATATTTTTATAATTATTGTAACAATTATTTTTATTATTTTTTTATAATACAACTATAATATAAATATAATTAATGTTGCTACCATAACAAAAAAAAAAAGGTATCATTACCCTTCAATCCCCTTCTCCAAAAAGAACCCTTCAACCCCTTTCAGTTTCAGCCTTCAGGCCCTTCACCTCCCGACTTTTGTTTGAACACTTCCTCCAGCTCACTTATTCAACACCAACCCCAAACACCAAACCAGACCCTGACACTCTCTCTCTCTCTCTCTCTCTCTCTATATATATATATATATATACATACTAGGCTTTCTCTCTCTGCACACCTCTCCTTTCAACGTTTTTCTCCAACAGATCTCTCGGGCTAACCCTTGGAAATGCGTGCTGGCTGGGAAGATTTCTCTTCCCTTTTGTGGCTTTTCTGGGTCCTTCTCATTTCTCCTTTGCTGTCTATCTCCTCCACATACAATGCATTCATCTATGTAAATGCGTAGAACTACATTAATATACATTTATACTTATATTAATATACACCGGTCTATCTCTCAAGTTACACACGCACCCATTTTTGAGACTTTTGCTTCGATTTCTGTGTAAAAGATTTTGTGGGTGGGTTTGGGTTTTTGCTGTTCCATAACAGAGTGTTATAGAGAGAGGGAGAAGATGGAGAACGGTGTGAGTTCCAATGGTGATGGAGTGACGTTCAGCGAAGAAGAGGTAAGAGAGATGAGTGGGTTGAAGAGAGCGGATGATTATGTGGAGGTGATGTGTGGGTGTACGAGCCATCGATACGGTGATGCTGTTGGGAGGCTTAGGGTTTTCGTAACTGGTGATCTCGAAATCACCTGTGAATGCACTCCTGGTTGTCTGGAAGGTCTCTCTCATTCTCTCTCTCCTCTTCGACTTCTACTGGAATGGGTTTGATCTGTTCATGCATGCTGTGTGTAAATATGAGGGTGCATTGGTTTTGAAGTTGATGATTGAAACTCTGCGTTTTCTTGTCTGTTTGTTTTATGGGTTTGAAGCGCAGTTCGAGATTGTACTTTGTTTTTTGTTTTTACACAGTTCAATTGTATGATGATTTGTCTAAGAGAACATCTTCCCGTTGGTAACATCTCACGACCTTGTCCTTCGCTTAGTTTATGCGTTGCTAAATTCATGTGCTGTGATTCTTTACTGTGAGTGCATTGTGTTGTGGGCGTTGTCTAAAGATTTGATTTTGATGTGGAGTTATGTACTTTCAGTATGAAGAACTGAAAGCTTTGTCTGATCATATGGCACGGCTTATGTTTTCAATGAGTTTTGTGTATGATATATTGTTCTTGTTTTCTGATGTTGAGGCTTTGGTATAGACGTGATTCATGGTCTATACTACTAGGAATTATCTGTTCTTGTTTGTGATGATCCGAGTTTTTCTGGCGGATGGTTTGATGGTGTGGGTAATTTTTCTGATCAGTGGTTGTCTGGCTACACATAAATGCACTTATTGTACTTTCATAACTCCATGTCTCTGGTTGGCCGCAGTGCTGGAGTGGTTTGTTTTAGGTCATTGCAATTTAATGTTAGAAGTAGAGGTACTGTTAAAAGGATAGGTTTCAACTTAAATGGAGGACTAAAGTTTTATAGCTACTCAAGGACTTGGTGCTTATAATAATTACGCCAAGAGGAGATTGAACTACTAAAGGAAAATTAGTTGCACAAGTGCTCCCCACGCCTTGTTTGTCGAAGGAGCAGTTTTGTCAGATTGATAAATAAGTTTTGATTACTATTTACTTTTTATGAATTCCAAACTTCTGCAAGTACAAGCCTTTAATTGGAGTTGGGTTTGACTATCTAAAACCACATTGAGATCTCTCAGCTGGACATTTGCTTGCAGATGGTGCTATCTGCTATGTGATTTTTAGTTGTATTGGCAGTCTTTTTTCCCTTTTCAATAAGAATTTGTTAGATAGAATGCCAGGTTTAGTCAGATTACCCTTGGTATTGTCAGTATGAAACTTGATAGTGTAGACCCAATAGAGAGAATCAATGCATCAGGCGTCTTCTAATTTGTTGCAAAGATAGGATGTTGGCCTTTTCATGTCTATGAATCACTCTTCATTTCTTTTTTGTGCAACAGCCCAGCATTTGAATATCTAGATTTGTTATATTCTCTATGTTTTCAGTTTGTTCTATTAATTTCTCTCTCTATATTCATTCTGATGTCATAGTTCTTTTCTTTTCCTCAATTTGTACCATTTCATTGGGCCTTTAATGAGAAGATGTTCTTTTTTATGAGCAGACAAGTTGACTCCTGCTGCATTTGAGAAGCATTCTGGAAGAGAAACTGCCAGGAAATGGAAGAATAATGTTTGGGTCATGGTTAATGGAGAAAAGGTCCCTATAGTAAAGACAACATTGCTTAAATATTACAAACAAGCATCAAAAAATGCCAGTCGATCCCATAATGGGCGTGTTTGTCATCGTGATGAATTTGTTTGTTGTGCTCGGTGTAATAAGGAGCGCAGGTTCCGCCTACGCACCAAAGAGGAGTGCCGGAGTTACCATGATGCTTTAGCATATATGAATTGGAAATGTTCTGATATGCCTTATGACAAGTATGTCTTACCTAACTTATCTCTTTTACAGCTTTAATTAGGTATGACTTATGGGTATGCTCCAAACTTTGACCTTTTTTTGCATCTTAATTGTTATCAATTTTGATATCACTACCCAACAAAGGTTCAATTTAAGAACGTTATTACATATTAATGTGTGTGTGATAGGACTACATGTTACATGTGTTATTGCTATTAGTTGTTACATATGAAAGAGACAGATCAAAGTGGAAAATAAAGTCTAAAATCAGATTGGAAGACACATCAAGTACTTCACTTCCAAACGTTAACAGTGAATTACATGTAGACTAGAATGCTGTCCAGATTTTCTTTTTGATTGCTATTGTTTGACTTTTATTTTTTTTGGTTGATGGGTTTAGCAGCAAGGCCAGACAGAAAGGCTAGAAAAATGCGCAACATCTTGTCCTCTTTCTTATGATTCTACCTAATTCAAGTTTCAAAGAAATTAAGTACTGGAAAAAAAGTTTCAGAGAATCGAAGTAATACAGATACTGGCAAAATAGAAAATGAATACATTGACTAAGCAATTATGTCAAGGGCAGGACACTGACATGTGGAGAAAATTAAATATAGAAGTACGTATATTCATGTGGAAACAATATATACTAAACTTTACTAAATTTCTAATATTTGTGTACTAATAGCTAGTACAATGTGCTTCGGAAGGGAATTAGTTACAACTTACAAGACTTATACAGGTATTGGATCAGTTTTCAAATTATACAGTGAATAGAAATTATCGAGCTTGAACAAGAACTTCGCTCAGCGGTTGAGCTTGGTCACTTTCCACAAAGCTGATTTTGAGCATCCTCAAGTTCAACTCAATTAACACCCGTGGTTGGAGAATGTCTGGGAAGTGTTGTCTAGATGTCCTAATCAGGAAATTTATTTTTAAGTGTGACTCCTATTAAGAAATGGCATACCATAAAGTATATATTAAATGAATTACAAAAATAGGGACATGAGGATGAGGAATTCCATTAATATCAAATGATATCTGAGGAAATAGCGCAAAAGGCCCAACGATGGCAAAGGTGGCAACAAAGAAACAAAGAGAGGCAATTTTCAAACCCCAATGCCCTGCCAAACTCCTTCAAACCTTGCAAGAAAATGAAATGGTAATACAAGAAACTAAGTCATAGCATCCTCAAATTGGCTGGAAATACCCCCTAGAGTCTCCATGAATGTGCAGTACTTTTAATCAAAAAATAACACACTCACCTTTTGATTTAGAAATCCATGAACTTCACCCTTCTAGGAGCAGAACATCATGAAGTTGATAGTACCCAACATTTTAGAAGCAAGGTGCTAGGAAAGATCAAGCTCTATACCAGCAGACAGCCAATCACCTCCTTTGAATGTGCCTGAATCAAGCTAAATAAATCTCCACAGTTAAGGCTTCCCAAAAACCTTCTAGACGTGCTAGGATCTCCACTTTAGTGGCAGATATTGTGCCCACTATCTTTAAAGGATGACAGCAATTCCATGACGATCTCAACAAATGCCTCCTGTGCTGGGGCTTCTAAGTGCATTGCCATTGAAATTATGTTTTATTCTAGCATATAAAGGAGGGATCCATCCATGTTAAATGACTTGGCAATCTCACAAAATAAAGAAACTCCCTCCAACAATGCAAAATTTTAAATTTGAGCACACTCCTCTGAGTTACTTGAAATTGATGGCTATAGAGTGATCAAAGAGTACACATTTCCCAAAGAACTTCTTACTCCCTTCGCTTAAAGTTCTAGCTTTCTTTAATTTTCTGCTAAGGCAAACAGTTTTCTGGAATGGACGATGCCAAAGAAGTGTCAGAATGATACAGATAAACTAAAAGTTAAAAAGAGCTTCCTCTATCACTAGTTTTTAAATACAAATCGTGTTCAAAAAGTTTTGAGCATTTTAATAGAATTCAAGAATGCATGAAAGACAAAAACACATCTATGATACACATGTCCGACACGGACACAATTCCTCACAAGTGTTATCCTACTCAGCAAGTAATTTATTGTCCCCAAAACATGAAAACTATTCATTTGGCATATATTTTAAGTTTTATGGTCTATTAAGTTTATCATTTTAGCCTATAAATTGTTAGTCTGTAAAACTAGCCTCCTCTCCACAAGTATTCTTTATGAGTGAATCTCTGGGAGATTTAAAAGGAGCATTATAAAGCAGAAGTTGTTTGGAATGGGATGGACCAAAGCAAGAAATCCCTGGAGATTGTGTAAATGATGATGTAGGGATAAAGCGTAGATGTTAAGATATGCATAGTCATTTCAAATCCTTTGTTCAGCAATTTGAAGAACCTCTTCAGTTTTAATTTGGTTGTCCTTGCAAGTAGATTTCATTTCTCATATAATTTGATATTTAAGAGATTGGAAGAGATGGTTGATATAATTTAGAACGTGCATTTAGTTGCATTCTTGCTGTAGCTTTCACTTCACCAGAACCACAAGATAATAAACAGATAAAGATTTGTTGGAGTTTAGTTTTCCTTCTTCAAATTTTTTATCCTGGATACATGTAAATGCAAGTCAAATTTTTTGGTATTCTCAATAATTTTATTCTTACTGGGTGATGTTATCCCGACAACAGTGTAGATGGACATCTATGTGTGCCATTTGTGCCAGAAGCTTTGCTATCTGGGGGCATGCTGTGGCACAATTTTGTCTGCGGCTTATTCTTAAAGCCACTGTTTTGCCAGTGCTCTAATATTGTTCACAACCTGGGTGAGGCGATGCAACTCTCTGCAGAGAGGAAAAGAGTTCAGCTAATACTTTAAGATATGTTAGCACTTAACCTATGTGCACTTGTTTGGATTATATGTATTATTCAAGAGAATATCTCTTAAAGGAGTGTATACATACACACATACAGATACACTAATATATCAAACATATGTTTCTTTTGATAAATTTGGAACATATTTTTTATTCATTTGTATGGTGGTAGTACTTTGTTTTCTGTATGTTTCCAAAAAATTAATATTAAATCGTGTAAGATGTGAGCATTTGCATCCTGTGTTTCAGAGCAACATGTGATGACGGTGAAGAACGAGCGAGTCGGAAGGTGTACAGGGGCTGCTCCCATTCTCCAACATGCAGAGGTTGCACCTCCTGTGTATGTTTTGGATGTGAAATCTGTCGTTTTTCGGACTGCAGCTGCCAGACTTGCACCGACTTCACAAGGAACACGAAAACTTGAGTCTAAAACAGTCATTGTAGTCCCAAAATCTCCTCCTAATTTGGGTGGGTTCATTCTTCCCTCCCTTGTAATTTCATTTAAATTGCAGTCCACATTTACATAAAGCTCAGTAACATCCTCCTAGATCTTCAGCCCCCTAAATGAGAGTTTCCTGTGTTGTTCTTGACTGGTTTAGAATTTGAATATTCAGGAAGGTATTTTCTTCATTAAATTGCTGGGGAAATAAATAGGATGTTATCTCCTTTTCTTCATTAAATCTTGAGATATAGTTAATTTGAATTAGTTTTACGGCATAAATGAATGCTGAGATAGCATTTTTTTCACGAAGCATAGATCTGCTCATAGGCAAAGAAAAGAATGTGTTCTAGTGGACAAGTAAAACCAATATTCAGACAGCTGAAGCAGAGACTTGGCATAACTTTTATGGGAAAAAGTTATGTTGGCATGCTTTATGGATTAGAATGTCTGCCAATGAGATGGTAACTGAGTAGAGGTGGTGTTAGCATGGCCTTGTGCTCATATAGGAGGAATTGATGAATGAATATGATGATTTAGCTAATGAGGTTGACCCTTGCTGTAACCACATGTACACATTTTTTTTTTCTCATTTTTAAGCAGATTTTGTTTTGCTATTTTTTTTTTAGTAAATTTTATAATGACTTGCCTTGTGAGAGGCTCGAAATTGTGAGACGAGCTATTTCAAAGTATGCGGTCATTAACAAGATACAAAGTTTGAGTTTTTTTTAAGTCATCTATTTCATAAATTAGTGAACACAATACGACACAATTAATAAACGAATCAAGTATTGCTAAAATCAATTAAAAGAAACAAACGATACGATTTGTTTATATATTAGTTATAAATGATTGATATCTGATATGAATTCAAAATGACATGACTTGTTAGACACATATTAATAAACGAATTAAATATGGTTAAAAGTATTTTTTTCATAAACACATTAAAACCTGACACGAATCTATTTCATTCAACAGGCTTAATCTTAAAAATCTGTCCGAAATGGTAAAACTTTTTAAGTGGTGGACAGCGGCTCAAATAACTTCTCCCTGGACCTCCCATCCCCACGAGTTTCAGAATCAAGCACCAATGCCTCCACAGGTTTGTCTCTGGTAAAGTAATTGGGAAGAAACAACAATAAATTTGACCTCAACAAGCCAGACTGATGAAACGAATCAACTGGAGGCTGGAGCAGTGAGCTGACAGATCAATGGATGGCTAATAGCTTCCTATTAATCCCAGAATTAGCAAAAAAAAAGCTGAGAAATACCGCAATTACATTCTAACGAAACCAATTTTGGTGCATTTCTAATGGGCAGTGCAGAAAAGCTAGCCATAACAGATTCCTAAGAAAGCTTGTCTTCCTTGGCAAAATTGTAAAGAGCATAAGCTGATCACACAGTAATGAACAAACCGTATGAGGAGAATTTGTTGACATGATAAGCCCTATGCACAACACTGCCGACTGTACACCTTCAAGAAGTACAGCATATTGAAACCAGATAGCAAATACCTTGGTCATCACTCACTAACTATAAAAAGCAACAGTTTAGCTAGTCCCTGCTCAGAGGATATCATAAGTTTATACATAGCTATGCTGCGAGTAAAATCCAAAATTTAAGGAAGCATCCAGAACATAACAAGAGCTTTATGAGTGCTGCCTGCCTCTCCCACCGCCAAAACGACCACCACCCCTGCGGTTTGGTTTCCTGCCACGACAGGAATTAACACCATGACTAAATCTCTGAGAATTTTCATTGTTGCCGGATACAAAAGGGGGTGGCTGCAAATCATAATTATGTTGCATTTGTGAGCCATTATATGACACTTGTGCTCCCACATTCATGGGTTGGAAAGCATGTTGGCCTGTCAAACCCACGCCAAATGGTGGTTGGTTGAAGCCATGTTGTCCCAAGCTTGCTGGCCAAGGGGTGAATGGTGGTGCCATGACAAAATTTGATTGCCCACCTGGTAAAACAAAATTAGAAGGCACCATTTGACTATTATCAAACTGCTGAAATGGTACCACATTAGGCAAAGGCATCTGGTGTTGCTGAGGGCGATTCTGTTGTTGCCACGCCATACCATTTGTTGAAAAGCTACTAGCAAATCCCATATTCTGTGGCTGCTGACATGAGATTGTATTTGCCCAAACTCCATTAGCAGATGCATTCAAACCAGGGGCCTGTGATACCTGTGGAAATGTTGGAAGGAAGCTAGACCCAACAGCAAAACTTTGGACTGATTCAGAGGAGCGTGGACAATTGCCCTGACTCAGTGATGCAGAGACAGGCGGGATGAAAAGCTGGTTCTGATCAGTCAATGGCTGACCCACACCTGCCGTTGCCTGTGTCATTGAGGTTTGATTATTTTTCCAGTTCCCACCACGGTTTTTAAACTTCTTATCCTTTGTCCTGTTTCCAGATTTCTGGTCATTCGTTCCTCTTTTTGTCATTTTTAGCATCCTTCTGTATTCAGCCTCCTTCTCATCATCTGAAAATTCAACCTCATCAAACACCTCTTCATCATTTTCACCGGATGCATCATATCCCTTCTTATAAAGATTGTTGTCATTGAGGACATGATTTGCAAATTCTGGAACAAACGAGATCAAAGTTCCTTGTTGGATCCCAGCAGGAACCTCACTGTCTGAATTGTATCTTATCATATAGTAAGGATTCTTGACAGGTCCAAAGATTTCATCTACTAGCCCTAGTGGGGATCTGCTTTCTGTAATCCAAAGAATAGAACCCTCATTAAGAGGGTTGTGCTTCTCCATCCCCTCTACAATGACTTGGGTACCCATGATCTGTAGAATAGTAAACAAAATTATCAAACCAAGCCCAATACGATATCACAGAAACAACATGCAGTCGGTAAGTTTGGTAAAGCAATCACACTAAGTGACATGCGACATCCATTGCACCTGCTTTTGCAAATGCTTCTGCGTATACATGTAATTAAAGAAGGATGTTTTCCTAGTAAGAATTGTGTCTTGTTTCTATGGCTTACCGACATAACAACTCCAACTGGCAGAGTCTGATGATATGGCTGTAAGGTGACATTCACTGGAGGAACTGGAGGGAGATCCTGCAAGATATTCATTGATAACTTACCAATTATAAAATAATAAACTAACTCAGAATGTAAATAATCAGAAAAAATTAGACAGAAAAGGACAATGCCTAGTTCCCTCATTCAGGAAAAATAAGGTTAAGAAGCCACATGAAATCCTTCACAAGGATTTGTCATATCTTGCTAGTAGTAATCAAACAAGGACTTTGTTGAGTTGAGTTGAGTCATGGAATGGTTAGAAGTTAGAACTCCACACAACAGGTGCTATGGTGTGGCAGATAAGATACCTTACTGTAAAAAAATAATTTTCTGAAATGTTCAAATCTTACAGCTATATTGACTACAACAGCCCCAACCAACCCCAGTTTGATGATTGAAATAGTTTTCTGGTATCTTAAATTGACATTGAAAACATAGCACTCAAAAAGCACCTCTCCACATCTTCATCTTCTGCACCAGTTCTAAAGTCGTTACAAGCACCCTTTTTAGCTTCCTATAATTCCTAATTAATAAATAATTACCTTTCATCCATTACTCTAGCATTGCATAAATAACAGTCAAAACACCTAGCCAACTATTCCACAACATCATCACCCCCAAACAAAAAACTTAGCTCAAAAGACAGCTGAGCACAATAAGAACAGTCTTAGGCCACCCAAATATCAAAGAACTCCAGCTACATTACTGATTTCTTTCTAACATAGGAGACTGCACATTCTTAGCTATATAATCAAACAGCAGCCTGCACATTCTTTGTTTTCCTTCAATCCAACAGATTAGTATATCTCCTCCTGACATAGCACCAGAGTTCAAAACATGTGAAATAGAAGTACTGAGATCTGAGTACATAATAAAGTGACAGGCAACCTCGCACTTAAACAAAATGAGCAGAGTTTTTGACTCCCGAACCTAACCCTGAAATGCAAATTCTTTTCATTATGAAAAAAAAAAAAAAAGAAGAAGAAAGAAATACAAACATAAGAAAATTCCAGTTGCGATGATTTATATAAAAAGTAAATGAGTGGCATTGAACAATATAATGAAGCAATTAAATAAAACTACATCAATTACCCCAAGTTCATTCTTGGACTTAATCGGTCCTCGAAGAGCACTGCTGCCACCACCATTCTCTTCATCATCATCGTCATCACTCCAAGCAACCATCTTATGTGCATCAGAATCCCTTATCTCACCCTCTTCCATGTCCACCTCTCCCTTCCCTTCCTCCTCTTTTTCTTCTTCTCCTTCCTCCTCCTCCTCATCGGCATCATCTTCACTGCTAGAAGATGCGGTCGATGATGACGCAGATGAAGACGAACTAGCACTCTCAGACTCCGATTCACTATCACTCTCATCCTCATCACTCTCTATATCCCCACCCTTCAAACCACTCCCATCAATGCTCCGTACATCACCACTCTTGGCACCACTCTTCACATCATTGCCAATGACACCCTTACCATGAACACTTGATATTTCACCAGTCTTTGCGCCAAATGAATCAACAACCAAAGCTGGACTATTTGACACCCCATTTAAACTAACCCTCTCCATCTCTTCCTCAATCAAACAACCGATACTCCCCACCTTTCCAAACTCATCTACAACTGGGTCCTCAACTTTAATTTCCTTAGAAACCTTATCTTTACCAACTTCAATCCCACGCTCAAAAACCCCAATTCCAGCCATCCGTAAACTAGATTCGTCCTGGTCTGGACTCAAGCACCCCAAATTTCCCAACTTTGCAGACCCCTGTACAATTGAATCTTCCACTTTAATTTCCCCGCGAGAACCAAGTTGAACCAATTCAGTATTGCTCTCAACAACCACTGATTCAACCTTCTCTGAACCAACCCTCTCTGGGCCTGCCGTTAAGCCATTTATACCGCTGTACGGCTCTGGGTTTTCTTCCATCCAATCCTTTATTGAGTCAAAATCAAGAAATGAATCAACAAAATCTGAAGGGAGATCAAAGTCTTCGACTTCTGGGAGTGAGCGGTCAAGTGGGTGGTTTGCTTTCTCAAGCTCTGAAGGTCGAGTATTGAGTTCTTTCTCTTCTTCAAATTCTGAAGAGGTGGGCTTGTAGATAAAACTCACCATGGTGGCCAAGCACCAAAACTAGGGTTTTAGAGCTCAAATTCATAGTTTTTAATGAAAAAAAAACTAAGAATATATATGGGTGCGAATCCTTCGGGATTGAGTTTAGGGCTTTGTTTGGGAAAGCCGGAAAGAGGAGGGAGAGTGGGGTCTGGCGATGAAAAGGAAAGAGGCGTTAGCCGTTAATGTGAGTTATTGCTACAAGTTATGTCGTGTGAATAAGTGAGTGTTTTGGTGCTAACAGAGTTCGAAGCTTAGACCTCGTTAAACTAAGATGTTTCTCCAAAACCATTTTTTTTTTTTAATCTTTGAAATCGGAGCTTGTTTTTAAAAGGGTAAAATACAAAAAATCCCCTGGTACTTACAGTCAGTTATACATAATCTCCTCGTAGTTTGAATTATTATGCTAAATCTCCTCCACTTAAAAACAAAATACAAACATGGAAGAATGTTACTAACTTAACGGAGATTGTAAATCACTTGCTTAAAATTGCGTATGAAGATAAAATATAAAAAATTTATATTTTAAAATTCTTAAAATACCCTCATCTTCCCCAATTGTCGGAAAAATTTTGCATGGTTATACACACCACGTGGCAGGCCCAAATGATGTGCAAAACCATTGAAAATGTGTCATTTAATCCCTTTGTCAGAAGAGGTCATGTCATCGATTGGACTTAACAGAAGCTAAGAAACGTTAACTCTGTAAAGTAAGAGGGAGTAGGCTTCGCTATTGAAAACGTAAATATGGGTATCATATCGAAAAGTTAAAAGAATTGAATGCTCATCATGTGTACATTTTAAATTTTATAAAAATCTATAACCGGTTTCACCTGTTTCGGTATATACTTTAAAAATTTTAAAATAATAATTATTTATTATATTTAAATATGAAATAAAAATATAAGAAAAAATTTACAATTGAGGTTATTGAGTGAACATGAACATGAACTCTATACACTTTAAAAAATTTAAACATGAACCCTTATACACTTTAAAAATAAGTGAACATGAACCCTTATACACTTTAAAAATAAGTGAACATGAACCCTTTTACATTTTAAAAAATTTAATCATGAACCCTATACACTTTAAAAATAAGCGATAATAGAAATTAAAATGATAATTATTTAATTTACAATTGAGGTTATTGAGTGAACATGAACATGAACTCTATACACTTTAAAAAATTTAAACATGAACCCTTATACACTTTAAAAATAAGTGAACATGAACCCTTATACACTTTAAAAATAAGTGAACATGAACCCTTTTACATTTTAAAAAATTTAATCATGAACCCTATACACTTTAAAAATAAGCGATAATAGAAATTAAAATGATAATTATTTAATTTACAATTGAGGTTATTGAGTGAACATGAACATGAACTCTATACACTTTAAAAAATTTAAACATGAACCCTTATACACTTTAAAAATAAGTGAACATGAACCCTTATACACTTTAAAAATAAGTGAACATGAACCCTTTTACATTTTAAAAAATTTAATCATGAACCCTATACACTTTAAAAATAAGCGATAATAGAAATTAAAATGATAATTATTTATTATATTTAAACATGAAATAAAAATATAAGAAACAATTTACAATATATGAAGTTATTGAGTGACATTAAATATACCATTTTAAATTAAGTTAAAAATATTAGGAGGTTAGATTAGATTATCTAAGTTCACCACTATTTTAAGTGATAATAGAAATTAAAATTAGTTTTAAAAAATGATAGTTATTTATTATATTTAAACTTGAAATAAAAATATAAGAAAAATTTTACAATATTTGGATAAAATTGCCATTTGTTGGGGTTATATTTTGAGTTAAGTTAAAATTAGAGGTATAAGTGAAATTTATTGGACATATCTTGAGCGATCGAGATTAGCCCGTAACATCTTGATTGAAATTAGTTTAGCAAAATTATTTTGCAACTTGATCGCTACCGATCGCTACATATGCGATCGAGATTTTTGTTAGCGATCAAGAGATAACTCCAAAGTCTCCAAGTTAATCGCTCAAGACTCTCAAGTCTCTCTCAACTCCCTTGTCTTCTATTCCTCTAAACTCCTCAAAACCCTAAATCAGCGATCAAACCCCAAATCTAACCCAAATGGGTGAAAAACCAACCTGATTGCATACCAAAACCCTAAATCACAACCATTTTTGGATCAACCACCTCCCAAATCGGTGAAAACCCAAAACCCCAAATCGATAAAAACCCAAAACCCACTCCCTCCGCCTTCATCTTCTCCAGGGTTCTTTCTTCTCTCTTTCTCTCAATTTCATCATATTTTTGTATACATAGTTGTCTCTCTCTCAATTTCATATTAATTTTGTATACATGGGTTGAGAATTATGTTTTTTGCGAATGATGGTTTATTGCTATTGCTCAAAAGTTGCTCAATTGTTAATTTTTATTGCTCAAAAGTAATAGATAATTTTCCATGTTATTGAAGATTTTTTTCTTGTTACAACAAAGTATAATGACCAAGAAGTATAGGCCAAAAGTTGATACCAGTGAAAAAAAGAAGAGGAAGGAGAGCTGTAATGAGGGAGGTCCCTCGAAAAAGAAGAAATGTAATCATCCTCCCTCTGTTGATCAGTCCTCAATAGCTAATCCCACCTCCACCAATCCAATTGATCCCATTGTTGATCCCACCTCCACAAATCCAGTTGATCCCTCATTCAATACATCAAGTTCACCCAACCCCAATCCCAATCCAGCAAGTTCATCCAATGAAGACATATCTTTCTTCAATGATGATTGCAAACATCGGTATGATAATTACTTTTATAATAGACCTTTGTTATTGGAGAGGGGTGTTGTACTGGATGAATTAAAAGATGTAGGATTAGATGTTATTTTTGCTCTTCATTGATGGAATTCTTTAGTTCATATCAAGAAGATGGATAAAGCATATACTACATTAGTGAAGATGTTTTATTCTAACCTGCATGATATTGATAAAGTTAATCACAAGTTTAAGTCCCTTGTGAGGAAGGTGAGTTTTGAAGTAATCCCAGATTTAGTTTCAAAAATGTTGGGAGTTCACTGACCCTTCCTTCATGATGATACACTTTCTTATTCATTCAATAATTCTAAGCACATACCTAAGTTGGAAGATGTTTATACAGAAATCGAGGGTATACCTAATAATTTTAGTGAGAGTGTTACTGATCCATCATTTTTTTAGCAACACATGACTCCTAAATATAGGATTTTAAACCTTATAGTGGGGTACAATATTCGTCCAATTGCACATAATACTGATTTTGGACTTGATCGAGCTTATCTCCTGTATGCCATTGGAACGGGTATGAATATAGATCTACCTTGTTTAATAATTAATGAAATTATTTCGGCACACGGTACGAATGATAGTCGAAAATGTCTCTCATTTCCAATTTTGATTTCAAAGATTATGGAGGATTGTAGAATTGTGATTCACTCAAGTGATGCTTATTCTACTCCCATGAATCCAATTAATGGTGGGACAATAAAAAAGAGTTTGAGACAAGGGAAGAATAAGAAAACTTAGCCACAACAGAGTTTGGGGAAAGAGAAGAATAAGAAAACTCAGCCATAAGTTGAAATCCAGAATGAAGTTGCACCTGAGAATAGTATTGCAGCCCAAGCTGTCCCAAATTCTTCCACAAGTGGTCTTTCTTCATTGGATGAATGATTGTCTATATATGCATCTGTGATGATACGAATGGGAAGAATGATAGAGGAATTTAGAAATGCTCAAAATGAAATAAAGGAGTCTCTCAAGGTGATTGATAATAGGTTGGATAAAATTGATAGTAGGTTGGATAAAATAGATAGTAGGTGGGATAGAATTGAGTCTTTTTTTTATGAAAAGTAAAGAAATAGCTAGGAAGTGAGAATTATATGTAATTGTAGCTGTTGGTTGTTGATACAATAGTTGAAGTAGCAGTAGTGAAATGTGATGAAACAAATATATGCATATGGATTTCCATCTCTCTCTCTCTCTCTTAGTTTTTGTGCGTTATTCACTAAAAACATTTCTTATTATTCAGTGAAAGGTGGTGATAATATTATCTATTTTTCACTTTGTGATGATAAGGAAATATCCTACAATGTACAAGGAATTAATGTGATTGTGTCATATTGTTTCCTTTGTTGTATATAATACCCGTGTTATTATTTTCAACCCTTTTGTTTTAGGGATTATGGTGGATTTGAGGAGTCTTGAGAGAGACAAAGAACAGTCCAGTCTTTTAAAGGATCATGTAAAGAATTCAATTTTAAACGCCGAGGTTGATCTTCTCATTACAGTTTATTTCTGGTGCTTGGTGTTGTCACCATTGTGTCTAGCAGTGAGACTGAAACAAGGAACAAATTGTAATTAATGTTCTTGTTTGGAATTATGTAATATTTTTTTTAGTCAAGACGGTTAAGGGCTTTATGGGTTGTGCTTGGCATTTGCTGAGTCTTTTGGAACAAATTCAGTCTTTGTTGAGCAGATTACAGTTTACTTTGGATCATGTTGATAGAGAAGCTGATTTTCCAGTTTACTGAATTTTCAAGCTGATTATACAGTTTCAGGCTGAGTATACAGTTTACTTTGGATCATGGATTATACAGTTTATTGAATTTCTGTAAGCGACCAGCTTCCAATGCTGTCAGGCAGAGGCTGCAGGATCAAAGAGGTCTTCGTATTTTGCACACTAAGACTTTTATGGTATTTGATGATAAAGGTTGAATAGGTGTTTGCTGGGGTGTTGTATGCGAGTTGGTATCCTGTTGCTGTTGGGCTTAGTATCCTGGAGCTGCTGAGTTACTGAGCTAGTGTTGCTGATTGCTGGGCTAGTCTTGGAGTTGTTGAGCTGCTTCTGCAGAGCCTCTGATGCTACAAAGTTGTGGTGTGGGCTGATTCTGAGCTGTTAATATCCTACTGGATTTGGAGGGTGGAAGCTAAAGAGTTACTACTTGGCGTATTTTCAGCTGGTTCAAGAAAATGTACCAGTTTTATCTGGTTTTTGTCTCAGAATTTGCAACAGAAAATCCGTTACAAAAACAGAAAAACTATTTTTTTGTAACAGTTTTTTCTGGTTTTGTTTTCTGTAAACAATTACTTTTTTATTTTGGTAAAAACAGTGTCTGGAGTAATATGTTCCTCAAAAGTGGTAATCATCCCTAAAAAATGATAATATTACCCAAAAAAATAATAATCTTGCTTCAAATAATGGGTAATCTTATAGAAAAAGGCGGTATTCTTATCAAATACAAGTGATAATGTTACACACAAAAATGTTGTAATCTTAACCACCCCAAAAAGTGGTAATGTTAACTAAAAAAGTGATAATATTAACCAAAATAGTGATAATGTTAACAAAAAAAGTGGTACTCTTAACAAAAAATTCATGGTAATGTTAACTAAAATAATATTAACAAAAAAAAGTGGTAGTGCTAATCTAATCAATGGTAATGTTAACCAAAATAGTGGTACTCTTAACTAAAAAAGTGGTACTCTTAATAAAAAAATAGTTGTACACTTAACCTAATAAATGATAATGTTAAACAAAATAATGGTAATGTAAACCAAAAAAGTTGTAATCTTAACTTAAACAGTGGTAATGTTAATCAAAAAAATGATACTCTTAACAAAAAAAAATGATAATGTTATCAATAAAAGTGGTACTCTTAACCAAAACAGTGGTAATGTTAACCAAAAAAATTGTACTTTTAACTAATGGTAATGTTAATCAAAAAAGTGGTACTCTTAACTAAAAAAATGATAATATTAACAAAAAAAGTGGTACTCTTAACCAAAAAAGTGGTAATGTTAAGCAAAAAAATGGTACTCTTAACCAATGGTAATGTTAACCAAAAAAGTGGTAATATTAACAAAAAAAAGTGGTACTCTTAACCAAAAAAATAGTAATATTAACAAAAAAAATGGTACTCTTAATAAAAATGATAATATTAACCAAAACAATGGTAATTTTTCCCTCAAAAGTGGTAATCTTACCTCAAATAATTGGTAATCTTACCAAATAAAAGTGATAATGCTAAAACCAAAAAGTTGTGGGAATGCACAATAAAACATATTTCGTTCGGCATTGGTGCATAAAAAATCATGGCTATGGCTTAGACTGTTATAATAACTCATACTAGTAGAAATTAACAAGCAATACTCACCAAAGCAACAAAAAAGCGAATAGGGAAATATGTTTTAACAAACAATACTCAACTCATAATATGTTTTTCCTGCCCTCTTCTTCGTCCAAAAAAGCGAAAAAAAAAACTTGGAATGGAGAATGTAAATTAAACATTTTCATTCAAAGTTGCAAAAAAATTAAAATATCTTTAACCCATCTTGCTCCATGATGTTGGTGCCCACTGTGATAGCATAAATTGATGGTTAGATGACAATGGTGGAAAAACAAAATTTGTGGAATAAAATTTGTAATTTTTGTAATTACCTCCATTGAAACTAGTGTTGATGTACTGTGATTGAATGGTAGAATCAAAGCTTGACATCACATCCTAAAATAACAAGGAATGAGTACATATGAAAAAAAAATATAAACATCCAAAGAGTATTATATGAACCTATGGTTGAGGATACCCTTGTTGACAAAGGGAATGCACCGGTCATCCTCTTTCAATGATGGCATATATTATTGCGATCCACCATGCTGTGAGAAAGACATCTGGTGTGGTTAGTCTGATCTACTATGTTGTGAAAAAGGAATGTCCTGTGGTGGCTGTGATCCAACTGGTTGTGAAAAGGGCATATCCTCGAATGGATTATTGGATTGATACGTCAGGAGTGGACATTTTCTAACAGCATGGCCAGTGTCCCTGCATTTACTACATCTTCGCTGGTTGATTGGAATATTCTTTTGTGCACGACTATGATTACCTTTGGTTTCACAATCTTTGGATCATTTACACTAAATTGTGTAGTCATCACATTTGCATTGTGTTTGCCAAGTGACTCATGACGGACTTTTAGAAGAGAAGTTCTTTGTTGCACCATACTCCTCAGGTCATTTGAGTCTGAGAGCAAATGTGAACCGTAATAACACATTTGGCTGCATATTGACATAAGTCCAGCATAACGCGTAGGAATTGACACATTCGGCTGCACGTTACCACATTCATGTGCACATTTATACCTAGATTTTGCTTTAATGGTCTACATGTCCATCACAATGGTATGAGGAAACTCTTGTATGTGCTCATACTTCATTATCGCGATCATGTGAGAGCATGGAATCCCAAAAGACTCAAATTTCATGTAATTGCATTTAAACGCATCAATTTAAGGATAATATCGCACAATCCACTGTGATTCTGGTTTTGTGAATCGAGACAAATAGTAACTCCGATGACTTTCAATCTCGATCTTATCTACTACAAAAAATACAGCTTCTTCTCGTATCTTATCACGGACCTTGAAGAAAATCTTTCTGGTATATAGAGCAGCAGGATGCTCCTCTAAGCATCTCAGTGCAGTCTGCATCATTGGCCTCGAATGTTCCGACTCAAAGTCATCATTGGTCTCACACTCCCTGATCCATGTCAAGCCCTTGTCATAATGCCTAACAAACTCGAATAATCGTTGGCTTGTTTTTAGAAAGCGTTTCAGGTAGGCATTCATACTCTCCAATCGTTGCGTGCTTTTTTAGCCAACAAAAAATTTTCCTCGCAAGTACGTTTCGGCCCATTTGAATCGCTTTGCATAAACTTCCGCTATCCAATTGTTTGTCTCTAGTCCAAATGATTCGACCATTGATTTTCACTCATTTTCAAATTCTTCCGGAGTGCATCGAGCACACATGCACCTCTAAAATGCATTGACAAAATTTTCAATATTTATATTTGTGAAGGCATTTCTTGACAAATGCCATCTACATAAGCAATGCTTCGCTTGAGTAAATATTCTTTCAATTGCATCAGCCATTGCTTTATCTTCATCCGTAATAACAAATACAGGCATCTTGTTTTCCATTGCATGAAGAAAGGTATTCAATACCCACACATATGTATCAATCGTCTCGTCTGAAAGTAATGCGCATCCAAAAATAGTTGTAGTGTTGTGGTGGTTGACACCGGCAAATATCACAAACGACTTCTTATAGGCATTCGTTCGATATGTAGTTGCAAACGTCACCACCTCACCAAAGCACTTGTAATCTAGTTGAGATGTCGAATGAGCCCAAAACAAGCAATTCAACGAATTGTCATCGACGACAGAATACTTGAAATAGAATTGCGGATCCAACTCTTCTTTCTCGCTCAAGTAGGCTAATGCGCCCTCTGCATCACCGTCTCTCAACTCTTCTCTATGGTAGGATGTCATGTCATTGTAGAGATCCTTTGTGGTAAACCCAACATTTTGATGTCCTCCAGATTGTTGCAACATGAAATCCCTAATATGACTTGTACGCATACCAACATTGCGCAATGATATAGTTTGTGCTCTGTCGGGGCTCTTGACATGCCTGTGTGATCGGAGAAATGGAACACCACGTTGTGAAACCAATTCATGGTTGTGATCCATTACAAACTCTTTTACAACCCATTTTTGTGTCTTCCTATCAAACTTCACTCGAAATGTTGCCTTGCATTCAAGTTGTGTTAACCCTCGAGGTTCCCTTGATCGCTCTACGCGTTTTTCATTCTTTGTCGACCGATACTCTTCTCTAGAACAAACCCACCGTCTTGAAATTGACATGTTATTCTTGATGAGTTGAATGGTAGATGGAAGTTAATTTGATAAATTAAATATAAATGAGATGAAATTGAATGTTAGTTTAATAAAGTGAATTTTTATTGGATGTTAATTGAATGATTATGTATATAAATTAGATGTATTTAATATTAATGTTAATGAATGAAATGTTTTAATTTAATATTAATTTGTTATGTTAATTAAATATATTAATTTTGATTGCTACTCTTGATTGCAATAGTGTACTTGATCCCAGATCACTTGATCTTGATCACTACCCGATCGCTAATTGCACTTGAACAGATTGATCGGTACCGTGATCGCACTTGATCCCAATCTTGATGGCCATCTTGATCCCAATCTTGATCGCTACCTTAATCCCAATCTTGATCTCAATTTTAATCGCTACCCAATCTTGATCGCTACCTTGATCCCAGTTTTGATCCAAATCTTGATCGCTATCTTGATCCCAATCTTGATTGTTACCCAGCTCTCGATCGGTCGTGATT